TTCTTATTCTTATGGGTGTTGATAGGTGTATCTTAAAGCCTATCATAAGGGAAAGGTTGAATTCCTTTTAAACTCTTGCTGCAATGTTGGCCTCTGGTCCGTTTTTGATGGTAGAGTTATGAGGAAGTTTTATGTTGAGATTGGGCGTTTTTTAATGTACGGTTAAGCATCACCTATACTGCAATCAGTTGTATATTTCAATTTTCGGCAACATTTAACCCCTGACCTTATCCAATAGAATAAGAAACACCCGCGCTCTTAACCTGTACTGGCTTGGAAGCTAATCAACAAGTTGCCATGTTGAATCCAAATTTATTCAGAGCATGTGCAGTCCAAAGCTTAACTCTGCAATATAATGGTTCTTTATCATGTAAACTCAAGGAAAATGCTTAAAAGATACGGTTTTTTTCTCAGCACAAATGTCATCTACTTTCCTTTAAAGATCGGCTTCCTTTTTTCGGCAAAAGCCAACAATGCCTCCTTCCGATCTTCCGTTGGGACTACTTGGGCATAACACATCTCTTCAAGAGCTAATCCAGAAGCTAGTGGAAGATCAATACCACCATTGATGGCAAGCTTTGCCATTCGTAAAGCAATTGGGGAAGAATAGTGTGCCCATTTTTCTGCCAACATCATCGCAGCTTCATAAGGATTTTCGTGAAGCTGGTCTATAAGTCCCATTGACAATGCCTCAACGGGTGAAATAATTTCTCCACCATATATCAGCCGCTTTGCATTTGATGCGCCAACAAGTTTGGGAAGGCGCTGGGTTCCACCAGCTCCAGGAATAATCCCAAGAGTGCACTCTGGAAGCCCGAGTTTAATTTGTGAATGAGAAGCACAAACCCTATAATCTGCAGCCAAAGCTAGCTCGAGTCCTCCTCCAAGAGCACTTCCCTCTATTACAGCAATCGATGGGATAGAAAGTGTAGAAACTTGAGTAATAGTCGCCCTTAGCTTGGAGACGAATGAAGCAACCTCAACCTCAGTCATTTGCATCCGCTCCTTCAAATCTGCTCCAGCGCAAAAGACCCTTTCATTTGCAGATCGAATGATCAGTACGCGAGCGCTGAGATCCCTCCTTATTTCCGAGAGCATGTCTTGAAGGGCGGAAACCATTTCCCTGCTGAAGGCATTGACCTTGCCATTATTAAGGGTCAATATGGTAATCCCTCGATTATTAAAATTATCCTCTTTAGAGACAATAGTGTTGGTAGAAAGTTTTACTCGACTCCAGCCAATGGCTGTGATTGATTGCCTAGGGATAAGCCCGGACATCATCGCAATCCTCATCATTTTAAATCAAGTTAAAAAATAAATGTTTTAGGGTTGCTTCCTGATTATTGCAATGCAGGGCACTACCCGCAGTTGCCTACCCTGCCAATCCCATCAGCTGCATCTTAACCACCATTATGGCAACCGTTGCCGGCATCATCGCTCTTTTCAAATAGATATGCTCATTTGGGGGCCATCTACTTTAAAGCCACCCTTGCCTCTTAAACGGGATAAAAGATCGCCTAAAAGGGCTATTCCCAGGTTCCCGGAGCGGATTTTGGATGCGCCCGGGCTTCTAAAAGATCCACTTACATCTCCGATTTCTTGGTGCCATAGTCGATCCATTTTAGCGGTGGCCCTTAATTGTTCTGTTTATCTTTGGGAGGAAAAAAGCGCATCAATATGTTCCCACTTTACATTTGGCTCTGCCATTTCCGCAGTTCATTGGATAACTTCGTCAATTGTGGCAATTGGCTCTGCAGATGGCGTCCTAATTCTTTGGGAGCCGCTTTCACATAGTCAGATATACTTGAAACGTTCAAAAGGAGCTCCAATCAATATAATCACCAATGGCCCGTGCGGGACCATTGTTACGGGCGATTCAAAAGGAGATCTCTTTTTTTTCTTTCCAAATGGCTCTTCTTTAGCAAAGCCAAACGCACACTCGCACCAAATTTCGTTCATCACCTTCGAACAGAAAGGCTTATTCGCAACCATGGACTCCAGTGGTCTTGTCCATCTGTGGAAAATAGTCGATTCAACCGCCTTTTCTCCCGTTATTTATGGGTCCATTTTAAAATATGCCAGTCATTCGCTATCTGCCATTAAAGTAAGTTGAAGCCGGTTTTCTTTCGTCATTTTTATTACTTTTATTTTCCATTTGATTTCAATTGCTTACTGTAGGCAGTCGGATGGTGCCCGTGGCGCTCTTCATTGGTTGCAGTTGCCGGCCCTTCTTCCATCACTCTTTGGAATGCATATTCGGGGTCACTTATTTCGGAAGCGACTTTCCTTGACCACGCCCACCCACCTTTGACTTTGTATTGGTGGTATCCAGAGTCATCGATGCCATTAATTGTTGTGGTCCATTCTAACTATGAAATATCGCTGTGGTCCCTACCGCGTTTGTTTTGTATTACTAGAATTCGACCAGAGATCGATTCGGTCGTTCTACATGCCTGTTGGACAGGATCTAGAATCATCAGCATTGCAGCTGATGAGAGAATTCAGTTTCATTCGCTTTCCCCGCAATCTGCCGCCCTTAATTCGCCCTCAAAACTAAATTCACCCTTAAAGGCAGGAAATATAACCACCTCTCCAACCAAAGAATTGTCCCTGCATACAATACCAATTTCGCCCTATTGCAAGGAAATGAGAGATGTCAACACGTCTCCAGCTTCTCTTAAAAATAAGAACCTCTCTATTGAATATAGCTTCCCTTCAACGCATGCTGGATGTGGAGGATTATTTTCGCCAGAATCTAGAAGATTGCTTTTTGGTGTCAATGACCACCGGCATCCAACAGCTTAATAAAATTTTAAACTTTATCCTGCTCCTTCTTCTCAAATTCCAATGTTTATGTTTGCGCCATCCTGAAAAACGGGCCCTATTTTAAACCATGTGCAAGCGAATTTACTTGACATCACGCAAAAAATACGAAAAATCAAAAACCAAGTTGCTGTAACAATGAGAGAGAACATTTCTGAAATTAAATATTCATATCCTATCGGAGCTTCAATCATATTCTCTACATCTGCACGAATCTCTTACTTGAAATAGTTTCGAGGATTAAAAATGCCGAGCACATAATAAGAACCACTACACGATAAAACAGAGCTCCCTCAACAGAATTTTCAATATTTGCACCAGAGGATATTTAGGCCGCTGCAAAAATAAGTGTTTTGAAAAAGACACCTCGAATTAGCAGCACACACATCGGGGATATCAAGGTATTTCTGTCAATAGAAGCAAAAAGAACACTAAAACATCAATAATAGAGTTTGAGATTTCAGGCAAACTCATTAGCAACATAAATTGACGGAAATACCGGAGTGTTTAAACACATTTTACGCCGCTACACAAGCAACAAAAGCTAATACATCACTTAAAAGGGTGTGGGATTACACTAAATGCCTTAAAGAATTTTATTATTAGCTTAATGAGCGATTTTATCAGGTAAACGGGTTTAAATAATCACTTCAACCTTCCAAAAAATCCTTCATTGCGAGAGTTGGCCTCAATGTCGCTTGAAAAAGATCCACGAGCATCCTTTTTGGAGATATTTGGTTATAATAAAAAGTAAAAAATCCCTAATGGTATAATCATCCTCAAAAAAGGCTAAAACCAACCTCAACAAATCGCAAGTAAATATTTCACGAAAGATTCGTAATAGGCCTCTGGAGTAGCTCATTTTTTATTCGACATCTGAAAATAAAAAGACACGCTTGCATTGGGAAGCTATACTTCTATCGATACTATAATCCTCGCTATACTTTTTAAAGCTCTACTTTTGGTCGACGTCAGGAAAGGTTTCATTTTTAGGGCGCAGTTATGCTGACAAAAATGAAGTGAAAAATATTAATATCATGGAAGAGGATCCAGAAATAAATACTCGGCTAAGAAATCCAGAAAAAAGCGACGTAGATAAAATAAAACCAGTATTATACAAGGTGTTGATATCAGAAAATGCCATAGACCGAAAGATAATAAAATAATATACGCAAGCTGTAAAAAAATCACGCAAGTAACAAACATCGTTAAATTAAGCTTTGCTAACAGCTTCTATAGATGCCTCCAATGTGTCTGTCAATGGGTGAATAGCAAGATCTTTGTAGCATGCAAGTGGTCTCAGCTTATTTTTTAAAGTCAAATTTGAGAAACTGCAAGAACCTATTATTGAGGTCTTTTGAAGTCAATTTTATCAAATCCCCATCAATGGTAATCTAGAATAAAAGCTGAGATGATTCCATCAGATCGAAGCTCTTTTCTTTAGGACATAAAAAATAGCAAAAAATGTATATATCAAAATATGAAAATAGCTAGAAGTTAAGTATATATCAAATGATAGATTGGTAAGCATATTTTTAAATGGATCTGCATTCTTAATCACTTGGTATCCTGAAAGCACGCCAGAGACTTGTGAATGTGTTTTTTGATAACATGAGACTCCTCTTATCGTAGTTGAAAAGATTTGCGAAATTACCAGTATATAGGTGTGAAGCAAACACGGCCAACAGGCATATAGAATATTAGAAGAGCATCGAAAAACGCATAAACTATTCAAGGATACAAATTTTCGTTTTTTGGGGAGAAAATTGGTCTATTGCAAAGTGCGGTTTTTATGAATTTTCCCTGCACAATGGAAGGTGTCTATGATGTCTGCGATTGCTTCCATTGTAAGAAATGATACGGAAAGACGCATTTCCAGGTACTTCGATGTCTTTCGGTAGTGTGAGCAATTACGTTACCTTTGACATGACAAAATATGAGGTCTCTCTCCCCCTCTCCTTTTCGATTAGTTAGCTCGGCTTAAATTGAATTTTAATTTTAATTTAATTAAAAGCAAAGAACGACTGTTGCTCTCCGATTCCGGAACACGCCCATTGAAGTTATGGTAAAATCTTTCGTAGAATTTAATTTTAAACTTTAAAGTTTAGCTTTTAGCTTGCAAATCGCTTGTGATTGGGGACATAGGGCCAAATGTATTGTCCATTGAAAAGGCTTCAATTTTAATTCAGTTCTCCCTTCCAATTTACTTGCCATTGTTCCACTATGGGTGCGTTAAATATATTCCGTTTGTTGGGAGACTTGGTGCATGTGATCTCCATATTCCTACTTGCATCCAAGATCATGTCATCTCGATCATGTAAGGGTATTTCTCTTAAAAGCCAAATATTGTATCTTACGGTCTATGTCGTTAGATATCTTGATTTCTTTGCCATGTTAAAAATGGATGTACTGCACATGTACAATTCTTTGCTGAAGATTGTTTTTATTGCCTCTCAATCCCTCATCATCTACCTCATGCATGTGAGATTTGTGTCGACCTTTGACAAGAGGACTGACTCGTTTAAGCGCAACTGGATTTACCTGATACTTGGCATTTGTTTTGTAATTTCTTTCTTTGCAACAAACTGCCGCTCGACATGGTCGTTTACTCTCAAAATTCGCGAGGTAAGCGATTTGATAGTTATTGGTTACATTTAGTATCTGTGGACGTTCTCTATTCTTTTGGAATCCGTAGCCATTTTACCCCAATTGTATATGATGCAGCGAACTGGCGAGGCTGAAAGCATTACCACCCATTATCTTCTGTTCCTTGGACTCTACCGTGCTTTTTACCTTATGAACTGGATCTATAGATGGATAGTCCGCGACCATACGGAGGGAATAGCTATTATTGCAGGCCTGTTACAGACAGCTTTGTATTCTGATCTATTTTATATATATTTTTCGCGTGTATGCCAAAATAGGCCATATAAGCTCCCACTTTAGTTCAATAAAGACATCCAAACCAAATCACCGTGGCATCATTGTGTCTGATTTTGTAATTTTAATTTTTTGCAGTTTTATTGCTAATGCCCCCGATAAAAGAGTCTACTCCGGAATACACCTCCTTTTCAGAGGAACGCCGCCAAGTGCTTGGGTTTCTTCTGACATATCTTGAACGCAGAAATGTTCTCACTTCCGAGTATTATAAGAAGCTCGTATCGCTGAACGGGCTTTTTGCAGAGGATATTAATATTCTTGTCCAATCAATAGCCAAAGCCAAACACATAGCCAAAAAATCGCACAAGTCGCTGCTTCGTTCGCCATCAATGCCCTCCGCTTCAGCATCTTTGGAATCCTCGCCATCTTTTACTGAAGGGCCATCCTTCTACGAGCTGCTTGGAAAGACTCTAATGGACTTTATAACTTCCCATGACAAATCTATTGCTCAATCAGCTACCCTTTCCGAAGGAAAGCTGAAGGATCTATTTCAAGGATTGGCTATAGATCAGCAACCAGAGCTAGAAGCGATTGATGCGACAATTGCTTCGTTGTCAAATCAACAGAATACCATGTCCGCTAAACTGGCAAAGCTAAAGGGGGAGTACATCTTGTCATCACAAATGGTTGAAACCTCGTTTGAAGAGTTGAAAAAACGCGCCTTAATTCCGTTCCCTAACTCGACGACTAGCTTTTCGCTTACCAAGGCTTCAAACTATGAAAAGGTATCGAGCTTTATTACCCATTTATTTAATAGGCTTTTTTGGACTATTCAAAAAAAGTTGAAAGTGCTCGTAAACCTGCACGTGAATTTTATGAGGAAGTCTCCCGCATTCGAGATGCTTTTGAGGAGATAGAATCCAAAAAGCTTTTACTGAAAAAGGTTTATCATTCCATACAATTGACCTTTAGAAAATCTGTAGCATCGAAATGACGAGGTCTGAGGATGTCCTTAAATTATTAAAAGGATCTACAGTTCTCTCCAATTGCCAGCCTCTTTTTGAAGAACTTGAGGAAAAAAGCAGCA